TCTTTCCTGCCTATGCAGGGGGTCGGACTCAATGATCTATTGAGGTCCCTTCTGACCCTAACATCTATGAATCTATGAATCTATGCTCAGACCTGTGGAAATTACACCCAGAACCATGTATACCCAGGGAAAGGGGGGTGATTGGAGGTTGCAGCTATTATCAAGGTTACCTGCTTTTACCATATTTCTTGCTTATAATGCACACTCCAATGGCTAGCAGCTGGGGGGTGAATGTTGTGAAAAATTACGGTAGCCCCATACCCCGACTTGTGGAAATTACACCTAGGGAGCAAGGGAAAGGGGGCAATTGGAAGACACAGCCATTTCTGGGGTTACCTGAGGCACGGAGGCAGTTGTCAGGGTGTGGCTGGGCTTGGAGACGGGTCCGTAACTTGCTCTTAAAGGAACGTGGACGACGGGGGGAGGCAGGTGGCAGGGCCAGCTCAGGTGCCTCAGGCTGGCTGTCCCGCAGGACACGGAGGCGGTTGTACAGCTCCTGCAGCTCCTGATTCTGCTGAGCCTGGAGAGTCACCACTTCCTGGATGTGCCTGAGGGGAGGAGGGGGAAGTGAGGTCACAAGGATGCCTGGGTTCCATACAAATATGCCTGGGTTTATGGACTGGAGTAGAGGGGAAGCAGAGCCCAGATACTTGGGTTCTCTCTAGCACTGGGAGGGGAGTGAGGACTGGGGGGGTTGACACAGAGGAGGCTATAAGCCAGGACACCTGGGTTCTCCCCAGTTCTGGGAAGGCAGTGGGAGCTAGCGGGTTAGAAAGGGGGATGGGAGCCTGGATGCCTGGATTCTACCCCAGTCCTCCATGGGGAGTGGCAGAGAGCCCCCACTTAGAATCCCCCCCTTAGATTGAGGAGCCCAGACACCTAGGTTCCCTGGAAGAGAAGTGGGGGCTGGAGGGTTAGAGCAGGAGGGAATGGAAGCTGGAAGCCCAGATGCCTGGGTTCCCTGGGAAGGGAGTTGGAGTTGGGGGTCACAGCAGGAGGAATTGGGAGCCTGGACACCTGTGTTCTCTCCCAGGTCTAGGAAGGGGAGGGAGGGTAGGTGTGTAGAACAAAGTGGGATGGGAGCCTGGATGCTGGGGTTCTCTGGTAGGCCAGTGGGGGCTGGCAGGTTAGAGCAGGTGAGTGGGTCTGGGGTCAGAGGTCAGGGATCAGAGATCGCCTCACTTCTCACGCAGGCGCTGCAGCTCCGCCCGCAGGTCCTCGTCCTCCGCGTCGGACTCATCGTCGCTGCTCATAGCCGAGGAGGGCGACAGGCCAAGTGAGCTGCGGTGCCAGGCAGCCGCGGGGGCGGGGGGCGGTGCCGACAGCTCACTGTCTGAGCTGGGTGCCTTGCGGTCCAATGCCCCGCCCTCCTCCACCTCCCGTTCAGGGGTGAGTGATGAGGCATCTGACAGTGACAGCCCCCCAGGCTCCTCCAGGGGACACTGCTGGGGAACTGCCAGCACCTGCGGGGGGGTAGAGGGGAAGGAGCTGTGAGAGAGGCCTGGTGGGAGCCTGGACACCTGGGTTCTCTGGGAGGGGAGGGAGGTTAGGGGGTAAGAGGTGGGTGAGGGCTGGGAGCCCAGATGCCTTGGTTCCCTCCCTGATCTGGAAGGGAAATGGGGGCTGGTTGGTTAGAGAGGGTGGTGGGAGAGGGGGGCTGGAAGCCTGGATACCTGGGTTCTCTGTCCACTCTGGGAGGGAAGTGGGGGCTGGTGGCTTAGAGCAAGGGGGGCTGGGAGCCTGGAAACCTGGCTTCCTTTCTTACTTTGAGAGGCAAGTGTTATGGTGGGTTACAGCCTGGACACTTAGGTTCTCCCTGTTCCAGGGGGGAAGTGGGCACTGGTGGGTCAGAGGAGGGTGGGGCTGGGAGCCCATACACCTGGGTTCTCTCCCCACTTTGGGAGGGGAATGGGGGAGTAGTTGGTCAGAGTCTGGATTCCTGGGGCTGGTGGGTTAGAAGGAGTGGGCCTGGAATCCCAGATGCCTAGGTTCTCCAAGAGGGGAACTATGGCTAATGGTCAAAGCAGGGTGCCTGGGCTCTCTCCCTGCTGGGGGGGAATCTGGACATCTGGATTCTCTGGGAGGGAAGTGGGGGCTTCAGGGTTATACCAGGGGGAGCAGTGGGGAGCCTAGATGCCTGGGTTCTCCTTCTTTCTCTGGAAAGAAAGTGGGGCTTAGTAGGTTTGACTGGAGGGGGGTGCTAGGAGCCCGTCCGTTAACACCCACCTGGAAGCGCCCTTTTTGGAAAGCCCCCACGCTCAACTTCACAACTCCTTCTTTCTCTGTCAGGTCCTGCTCCCTGGCCACTTCCACCCCCACCACTTCTGCTTCCGCTGCCAGCCAAGAAAAGGGGTCAAGGGGGTGGGGGTAGAGAAACCAAACAGGGGGCATCTGGCATCAGACCCCATCCCCAACCCCCCTCCAATCCCCACCTCCTCTCCATAGTTCCCCCCAGAGTGGTTGAAATGGGCAGGGGATGGTATGGGGAGAATGTAGCAGTACAAAACACTGTGGTGAAATGTGACTGAGGATGGGGTGGAACCAGGGGTGGTTGGAGGTGGGGGAGGGGCTAGAGAGGCCTGGATCCCGCAGCGCTAACCTGGCTGGGCTCGGGCTCTCTTGAGCAAGCTGGTGGAGTGGCGGAGCTTGGTGGCCCAGCCTTTCAGTTTGCGCGTCCACGACCTCTTGCTAATGGGGTTTTTGACGCTAGGGCAAGTAAAGCTTAAGGCAAAATATCCACCTCCTCCTCCTCCCGGTGGTGGTGCCAGTGGTGTTGCTGCTGCTGCTGCTGCTGCTACTGCTTCTGGGCTGGACCAAGGCACCGACCTGGTCTCCACAGGCTCTGGAGAGCTGGGGGCATCCAGGGGGGTTGTCTGAAAAGACAGGAAGGGGGATGGAGGAGGTAGGAGGGGAAGAAAAGTACGGGTGTCTGAGAAGTGGTGTTGGCACCTGCCACCTGGTTGGAAGGGAAAGCCAGGAGGGCTGGGTGTAAGATGGGAAAGGGATGGGTTTTGGGATAGGAAATGACGGAGTGGGATAAGGAAGGGGTGGAGTGTGAAGCAGGGAAATGATGGGTTTGGATAAGGGAAGTGATGAGGTTTGAGACAGGAAGTGATGCGTTTGGAAAGGGGAAGGGAACAAGCTTGTGATGGGAAGTGATAGGTTTAGGACAGGAAGTGACAGGGTTCAAGACAAGAAGTGATAGGGTTTGGGATGAGAATCATGGGGATTTGAGACAGGGAAGGGTTGGGTTTGGAGAAGAGAAGTGATGGAGCTTGAGGTAAGAAAGAGATGGGATTTGAAATGGAGCGTTCACATTTGAAGCAGGAAGTGATGGGGTTTAAGACAGGAAGTGACAAGGTTTGGGATGAGAAGCACGGGTTTGAGACAGGAAAAGGAATAGGTTTGGAGAGAGGAAGTGATGAAGTTTGAGACAGGGAAGTGCAGTTTGTGATAGGAAGTGATGGGGTTGGAGATGGGAAAGTGATGCGGCTTGAGACAGGACACGAGGGAGTTTAAGGTAGGGAAGGGATGAGGATTGAGACAGAAAGCGACAGAGTTGGAGACAGAAAGTGATGGGGTTTGGGATGAAAAGTGCTGGGGTTTGAGATAGGGAAGGGATGGGTTTAGAGACAGAAAGTGATGAGGTTGGAGATGGAGTGATGCAACTTGGGACAGGAAGTGATAGGGTTTGAGACAGGGAAGCGAAAAGGGTTTCTGGGAGACCTCGTGACCCACCACAATAACGCTCTCACCCACCCTTTTAAACTTAATTCCTACATCCCCACTATTACATGTCATACTATAGCCTGTACACTGCCTGGTTTACTCTGGTATGTTATGCTGTATTATCTGAACCATGTCTGCTTTTCAGTGCAATATGGTACCTCAGAGCTATTACTAGGGTAATAGTAATACCCTATTACTAGGGCCCTGCTCTCTCTCAAACTCTGTTGATCATGGTACCATAATCAAAAGAAAATTTTCTTTCTTTCCTCCCTCCTGCCTCTCAAAAGCTAGGTATTATATTATGTGAACATGTTATATGTGAGAAAATACAGTAATATTAAGAAACACTTCTGCCTCAGTGCCAGTGGGTAAGTGGTGCTATTTGCATAATGAGCTCAGCAGAGGTCTGGGCAGGAGATTTGTACAATACCCAGCATGCCAGGATCCACCATCCCCAGCTGCATACTCACATCCAGGCTGGGAGTGCTGGGTATAGCCACCATCAGCTCTGGGAAGACAGCGGCCCCACTGGGTAGTGGGGAGTCCTCAGAGATCTCTGCCCCCTGCATGCCCGGGGAGGTGGGGCTGTCGGCCAAGGGGTCTGGAGGGGCAGGGCAGGACAAGGTGTCCTCAGCAGAGGAGGAGAAGGGCGACTCCAGGCTATGGCTGTCCTTCTGGCTCTCTGAGTAGCTGTGTTCTGGATACAGCAGGGTCCGCAGTTTCTCATCCAGTGTCTTCATGCGGTTGTCAGCGAAGTCCATCTTGGGGGGGCCCTCGCTATCTGACTCAGATGGGGCTGGGAGGGCCAGATCAGTGCCCAAGGCCTCAGGGGGTGCCTGGGGATCACCAGGCTCAGCAAGCAGAGACACTAGAGGCTCCATCATCAAGGGCATAACTGGCACCTTGGGGCTGGGTACAGGGTCTTCTGATTCTTCCCGGGGAGGAGGATACGTGTCTTTAGCACCCTCCTTGTCCATACCTGTTCAGAAGACAAGCACTGATTCTGGAAACTGATTTTTTTGGGGGGTGGTGCATATATTTACAAGTAAATACAGTAGATACTCTTTTCTCAAAGCAGTCCCCTATGCCACCTACTGGCCAGGTGCTATTAGAGTACTTCCCAGGACAGGTTGCCCCCTGGGATAAAGATAAATCAGGGTTAAATTACCCCTGGGGAAGTGGGGTAGGGGCAGCTGCACATAATTTATGAGTAAATATGGTAGCCACCAAGGACACTTCCTCCCAAGCGTTCTTCTACCTAGTGGCCAGGTGCTGTGGCTACCTAGTGGCCTGGGATGGAAGCAAATCAGGGTTAAATTAGCCCTTGGGGCGGCTGGAGGAGGGGCAGAGGGCAGGGGGTACATACAGTTTATGTGTAAGTATGGTAGGCAGCATCTCCTTAGAGCAGTCCTCTGAACCAGTCCTCAGTACCTAGTGGCCAGGTGCTGTAACAGCACATCCCTGGGATGGTGGCAAATCAGGGTTAAATTACCCTGGGGGTGGGAGGGAGTTGCGTATGGTTTGTGAGTAAATACAGTAGACACCAAGGTCACATCCTCAAAGCAATCCCCTGCATCATCTAGTAGCCAGGTGCTCAGGGCAAAGCCACTGTCCCAAACCCCATCCCTTCTTGTTTATCCCTGCTGCTCTGCTCTTGGCCTCCTGCCTGTATCTCCTGCTCCATCATCTGCTCTGCTTTCTGCTCCCTGACCTATACACCCTGCCTCACTGCCTGCTCTGCTTGCTGCTCCCTGCCCTGTACCCCCTGCCTGATTTGTTGCTCTGCTCTTGGCTCCTTTCCCCATTAGCTACATTAACCTCACACATGCTGGCCCCTCAACCTCTGCTCACCAGGAAGGGGCTGGGGCATGGGGATAGGCACAGTCATTGGCTGGGGGACACCAGGTACGTGAGCCTCTCTGTTCCGGATGGTCTGGTTGATGCAGAACCTCCAGCGGCCGACAGGGGATGACTGGGGTGCGCACTCATCTGGTGGGGAGAGGAGGGGGAAAGGGTCAGAGTGAGGCTCTACCCCGCTCCCTCAGAAGCCAGCTTAACCCTCCCCTCCCACCCGCAAGAGTCTGATCTGATGTGATGGAGTCAGGGCCTGGACCCAGATCTTGGCAACCTTGGGGGCAAACCAGGGTCACTCTGGATCACAATGGCAGCGCTGCCAAATTCCAAGCTCAACCACCCCCTGGGTTAATTCAGAGTCACTCTGAATGAAAGGTTATGTGGATGGACAAACAGAGAGATGCATGGATGGGGGATTACATGGGTGTGTTGATGGATATATAGATGGATGGACAGAGAGTTATGTAGAAGGACAGATGGATGAACAGACGGACAGACAAGGGGTTATGTGGACAGATGAACGGACGGATGAATGGATAAGGAGACATGAGGATGGACAGATGGATGGACAGATTAGCTGTGATTCCCCAAGACCCCTCCCAGCCCCACCACCCTGCATCCTACTCACTGCCGGACTGGGCAGCCACGGGATGCGCCTGGGCTTGCTCAGATGAACCTGTCTGCATTCAAAATGGAGATGTCAGTAGAGAGATCAAGACGGAAGAGAAAGCTCTGGGAATTGATGGGGCCAAGAGTGCAGGGCAGGGAGCAGAAAGCAGAATGGCTGATGTGGCAGGGGGCACAGAGTAGGGAGCTGAAAGCAGAGCAATGGATCAGGCAGAGAATGCAGGCCAGGGAGCAGAGCAATGGATGAGGCTGGGGCAGGGCAGGGAGTCAAGAGCAGAGCAATGGACCATGCAGGGGCAGGCCAAAGTGACCCTCACAGCTGGCACAGAAATCCAGGCACCAGGGGGAAGCCCCCCAGCCTCACCTGGCCCCCGCTGGGTTCTGAAGGTGGTGCCTCAACACCGGCTGTGCGGAGGATCTCCTGAGCTTGACACACGACGACCTGGAGCTCCTCCACGAACTTCTCCTTCTCGCCTTCCAACACAAAGTTGTCCTCCACCTGTGGGAGGGAGTGTAGCCATGCTGGCCTTGCCTGCTCCCATCAGCCTCCTGCCCACCCCCCACTATGGGGAATGCCAGGGCCTAGGGCAGATGGGCTGGCAAGGCCCTCAAGGGGGTTTCAGTCTAACGAGGAGGGAGTCTAACAAGAGGGCATTTGGGTCCTACTAAGAGGGGGCTTGGGTCTAACGAGGAGGGAGGCTTTGAGTCTAACAAGAAGAGGGCCTCAGGTGGTGGCTTTGGTTCTAACAAGGGTTGGGGAGGGTCTTATAAGGAGAAGGGCTTAAAGTCTAATGGGGCTGAGAACAACTGGTCTGGACAGACAGCTCAGAGATCCCACTCCAGTTCAGAGCTGGCCAGTACTGTCCATCCCTCCCACCCAGGGAGTGCCACCCCGAACCCCCAGTTGGCAGGGCCTAGAGTAGGGGGGCCTCACCATGTAGTCAGCAATGTCCTCGGGTGCATCCCCATCTGCATCAAACTTGAAGGTGACCATCTTGTTGTTGTGGGTCTCCAGCTGGCATTCCACTGTGTTGTCACCCAACATGGACACCTGACGGGGATTTGGGGGGTGAGAGGTAACCCCCTCCTTCCTGAGAGTCTCCCAGCCCCATGTGACCCCCCTCTGACCCTCAGAGCTCCCTCCAAACCCCCAGAGAGCCTCTCTGTGTATTTCCTATCCTGCTGTCATTTACCCTATGTAGTTACCTACCATATGCACCGCCCCCACCCCAAAATCAGCCTTCAGAAATCAGGGTATCTTAGGCAGGGAAAGCCTATTTGCTGCCCAAAACAGAAGCATGGACATGCTGTAAGATGGCTGCCACTTGTGTGCCCTCCAGCAGGGCATAGTTTAGTAGTAGGAGTGGGTAGATTTAGGGTTGGGGGGAAATAATCAAACTGGGTTTTATTTGGCCAGCTATCTCCTCCTTGTCTTTCTTCTCCTATTTCACAGCCCCTGAAGGCTTTTAGCTACTTTCAAAAGCAGAGATCCACCCATGAGGGTCTGGTCTTTAGCAGGAACTAGGCTTTCAGCTTTACGCTGAACAGCCCACAGCTGCTGCTAATTCAAGCTGGGAAAGGGGTAAAACAGAAACTGTTGCCTGCACATGAAAGGGAGAAGATGGGGAGAGAGAACCAATGCTGAGGCTCTGTCCCTGCACCTTGGCCATGCCCCTTCCCCCCTCCAGAAATTCCAGGGGCAGTTAACCTTTCACTTTTTGGCCAAATAGCCCAAAGTTGCTGCTAATTCAGCTGGGGAAAAAATAAAGCAGGGAAGGGGTTCGTTTCACCACCTCATTTCTGGGTTCAACTCCCTTGCTGTGGTGCAAGGTCAAGAAAGAAAGCCTTTGTGTTTGAGAGCTGGAGGGGGGAGGAGGTGTTGTTGGGGGGACTTCACCCTGCCCCACCCTCTTCCTCTCCCCTCCCTGACCTCCTAACCCACCTGGAGGACTGTTAGCTGGAACTTGGTGGTCTTGTCAGGCCGGGGGCAAGAAGACCGCCTCTGTTTGCTCCGGTCTTGCTTGCCGTTCCCGCCTAGGGGATCATTCAAGGTCATCTCTTTTAGGGCAATGAAGTCAGAGGTCACCCTAGGGGCAATAGACGGGGTGAGGGGGACATGCATTAGGCTGGGCTGAAACCAGGCCAGACCCCTAGCGAACCATCCCATGGAGCTTCTATGCCTTCCCTACCTCGTCTCAGCATCTACTGTATATTTCACATATAACAGGCACATTTTCACTCTGAAACCCACTGGAGGTGCACATTATGTGAGAAATATGACACCCTACAGGTCCAGATATTGGGCAGCGGGAGCTGCAGCCAATTAATGGGGAAAGCATCAAGGACTAGGTCAACAACTATTCACCAAAGCTCCCCAAGGGAAAATCAGGAGCAACGGTCATCAACTTCTAGAAGGAGGTTTCAGACTGGATCTAAGGAAAAACTTCTTTACAATTTATATGACCAGACTCTGGAATAGACTCCCAGCGGGAGCAGAGTGCAGGCAACTACCCTGGAGATCTTCAAAAGGAAACTGGACACACACCTTGCTGGGGTTATTTGACCCAGCAGTCTTTCTTGCCTAGAGCAGGGGGGCTGGACCTGATGATCTCACAAGGTCTCTTCCAGTCCTAAACTTCTGTGAATCTGTCTGTGAAAAGCCTCACTATTCCCCCCACTGCCAAATTTCCAGGCCTGGGGTAGCCCCCCAGCTAGATGATGTGACCCCACGTACCTGTTAAGGGCCAGGATGCAGGGTCCAGGCATGGTTGGACCTGCGACATGGCCCCAGACAGACCTGGCATATGGGATCAGGCCATAGCTGGACCTAGCACATGGCCCCAAACGAGTTATTTACCTTAAGCAAGGTAAGATTTTTTTCCCAAAACTGTAAAATAACAGGGCTTATATTCAACGGCATGTTGTATACAAGAAAATGCAGTATCCACCGACCTACATAGCTGGGAGTCTCAGTATCAAGAGAGGCAGGGAGCATAGAGCAGGGACCTGAAAGCAGAGCAGCCAATGGGGCAGGGGACACAGGCCAGGTAGCAGAAAACAGTGGCCAATGGGCATGGGGCACAGAGCTGGAAGGAGAAAGCAGAGCAGCTGATGGGACCAGGAGCACAGGGTAGGGAGCAGGAAGAGCAGTTGATGAGACCTGGGGCAGGGGGCACAGGGCAGGTTGCCAAGACCAGAGGCAACAGATCAGGCAGGGGGCACAGGGCAGGGAGTTGAAAGCAGAGCAACAGATGGGGTAGGGAGTACAGAGCCAAGAGCCGAGCAGCTATTGGGGCAGGGAGAGCAGGGCAGGGAGCAGTGAGCCCTCCGGCCTGGAGTCCACTTACCCCTGGGCCACATCTGGCTTGGGGGCAGCCAATGGCAGGTCCGGAGCCAAAGGAAGCTGTGAAACCTGTGGGGAGATGCAGGCACGAGTTTTGTGCATCCTGGCCCAGGCTTTTATCCACCCACACAAGACCCCTGTGGCACAGGTTCCCTGGCCCAGACCAGGCTCTCCTAGGAGTGGGGTTAACCTGGGAAGCCCAGAGCTCCCCACCATGGCAGGAGTGTCAAAATCATCTGGCCCCACATGAAGAGTACCAGGTGGCACCTGCCACTCATCTCCTTGTGGCCAACGGGGTTTGGCTAGGTGTGGCCACAATCCCCACCCCCAAGCCCTGCCCAGTAGGGCTTGGGGGGGCGGGAGCTAGAATGGAGAACATCCTACCTCCCTTCTGATGCCCCCCTTTCCCTGATGGCTTCTGAGGACGTGTGACACGTGCAGCTGCCACTTGGGACGTATGCCACACAGCAGCCACCTGGGACATATGTGCTAGGTGCAGAAGTTCTCTGGGACAAGTGCCATATGTAGCCTGTGCCTCGATACATGGTGCACACAGCAGCCGCCTGGGACATGTGTGGCTTGCATGTTGTGGGCTGACCACCCTAGAGACCCCCAAGCATTTGTAGGGGTGGGACGGGATAAAGAGCAGGGACCCAGAACCAAGGAGCTCTCAATTACCCCCCTAAACCTCCCACCATATATCCCTCCAACACTTCTCCCCTACCTGCACAGGCTCCAGTCCCTGAGAGCGCCAGGGGCTGGGGGTCATCGGGCAGGCTCCCACCTCCTGGGGCATCAGGGTGGCCACAGGACCCAGGGGCACTTGCTGTGGCTGCCCCGGGGGTACATAGCATGGTTGCCCTGGGGCAGTGATGAAGGCCTGAGGGGTCTTGGGCAGCAGCTCGAAGTGCTGGGAGCCTTGTCGGAGCCCTGCTAAGTCTAGGGGCTGCCGCGGAGGGTACATGGGGGGCAGCTCTGGCATTGTCACCCGCACATAGTCCTGTGGGGGATGCCCAGCATACGGGCCAGGCACAGGATAGCTTAGGTGGCTGGGGAAGGGGTACACAGGCTGGACTGGGTGCAGTGGTGCCAGGTCCTGCTGGGCTGGGGTGTAGCTGGGTGGTGGTGAGGCATATGGCTGGGGTGGCTGCAGGGAAGCCGCATGCTGGGGGGTTGCTGGCTGCGGTGGTACCCCTGGCTGTATTGATGTGACCTCGGCGGGAGCCAGCTGCGGCGGTTGCATGGACGTCATGGGCTGCGGCGGCTGCCTGGATACCAGCTGCTGCTGCACTGTTGCTCCCTGCTGCATGGAAGCCACCTTGGGGGGAGCCAGCTGGGGCAGCTGCATGGATGTCACCGGCTGCAGCGAAATCACCTGCGGAGGGACTTGTGGGGGCTGCTGTATCAAAGCCACTTGCTGGGGAATCTGCTGCAGCTGCTGCATGGATGGCACTGGCTGGGGAGTCTGGTGGGGGTGCTGTGTGGGGGCCACCTGCTGCACGGAGACTGCTGGCTGCATTGCTCGCACCTCGGAGGGAACCTGCTGGGGCGGCTGCATGGATGACAATACTTGCAGGGGCTGCATCAAAGCCATTTTCTGGGGAATCTGCTGCTGTGGCTTCAGGGAAGCCACCTGCAGAGGGGCCTGATGGGGCAGCTGCATGGATGTCCCTGGCTGCAGTGGTTGCATCGAGGCCATTTGCTGGGGGACCTGCTGGGGGTGCTGCATGGATGCTGCTTGTTGCAGCTGCTGTTGCATGGAGGCAGCTTGCTGGGGTGGCTGCATGGATGTCACTGGCTGCAGCTGCTGCAGGGATGCCATGTGCTGAGAAACTTGCTGTGGGTGTTGCATGGAGACCACTTCAGAGGTAACTTGCTGGGGCAGCTGCATGGATGTTCCTGGCTGCAGTGGCTGTATGGATGTCACCAGCTGGGGAACCTGCTGTGGGTGCTGCAGGGAGACCACCTCAGAGGGAACCTGCTGAGGCAGCTTCATGGATGTCACTGGCTGCAATGCCTGCATAGATGCCACTTGCTGGGGAACCTGCTGCAGCAGCTGCATGGAAGCTGCTGGCTGCATTGAAGCCATCTCAGAGGAAACCTTCTGGGGTGGCTGCATGGATGCCCCTGGCTGCAGCAGTTGCACTGATGCTACCTGCTGGGACAGCTGTATGGATGTCACTGGTTGCAATGTCTGCATCGAAATCATCTGCGGGGGGACCTGCTCAGGGTGATACATGGAGGACACCTCGGTGGGAACCTGCTGGGACTGCTGCCTGGATGCCCCAGGAGGCAGCTGCTGCATGGCTGTGACCTGCTGAGAAACCTGCTGCAGGTGCTGCATGGACGCCACCTGCTGTATGGAGGATGCTGGCTGCATTGAGGCCACCTTGGAGGGAACCTGCTGGGGTGGCTGCACCGACATCACAGGCTGCAGCTGTTGCAAGGATGCTGCTGGCTGCAGCAAAGTCACATGTGGGGGCACCTGTGGGGGGTGCTGCACTGAGGCAGCCTCAGACGGAGCCTGCTGGTGCAGATGCATAGACGTCACTTGCGTCGGCTGCATCAAAGCCATTTGCTGGGGAACCTGCTGCAGTGGTTGCATGGATGTCACCGGTGGAGAAACCTGCTCTGGATGCTGCATGGAAGCTGTTTGCTGCATTGAAGTCACCTCAGAAGGAGCCAGGTGCACTGATGTCACCTGCTGCACAGCTTCCAGCTGCAGGGGGACCGGCTGGGGTGGCTCCATGGATGTCACCTGTGGGGGGACCTGCTGGGGCTGCTGCTTTGATGGCACCTGAGAGTGCTGCATGGATGCTGTTTGCTGCAACTGCTGCTGAATGGAGGCCACCTCTAAGGCAGCCTGCTGGAGTGGCTGCATGGATGTCACTGGCTGTGGCAGTTGTGTGGATGTCCCTGGCTGCAGTACTGGCATAGATGTCCCCAGCTGTGGTGGGGCTGTGCCCACGAATGGGGTTGGGGCCTGGCCAGCTGGCAGGAACCCCACAACACCATCAGGGTCCCTGGTGGGCAGCTGGCTCCCAGGGCAGACGGCAGGGTCAACCTGTGGTGAGGCAGCCATCCTGATCGCTGGTGGGTCCTCTGCCCCATAGGGCAGCTGAAGGTCCAGGTGCTGGGGCAGGAAGAAGGAAACAAAGGATTCAGTAGGAGGACATACTTGTACTTGTTCCCTCTCCCCACCCCATTCAGGGCTATCCTAGAATGCCCTGCAGGGGATAGAGCCTGGAAAGAACTAACCAAGCTCCCCTGCCAAGCCAGGGGGTTTTAAAGACAGAATTGGCTGCAACTATCCCAGCCCAGCCCAACCCAGAGCCTAGGATTTACTATATTTTCTCACATACCACGCACACCTTCTCCTTCCTCCCCCCCCAAAAAATCAGTGTCAAATGTTGTGTCTACAGTGGAGAAGCTAGTTTTCTCTGCCTGGAATAGCAGCTCCCTGCTTGGATGAATGGTTTGGACAAGGATGATCCTGCCTCAGTCAGAGGGTTGAACTAGAGGCGACTTCTGGAGGTCCCTTCCAGCTTGACTTCCCTATGATTTCTTTCCGATTTCCATGACCCCTCTTCCAAGAGCAAACTACCTGGTGGGAACATTTCTATTCAGGCAGCTGCAGGAGTCCATCCGTTGATTCCATGGATCATTGTTCTTCACTTTGAATGTGATAACAAATGTCTCTCATTTGCAAGGTCTTGATGATCCACTAATCACACTAACTGTTCTTAAGGCAATTGAATGGTCTGCTGTCTATTCCTGGTCTCTCTCCTCTTATTTCACAGCCTTGGAGACTCTTTAGCTACACCTACACTAGGATGGGCTCTATGTAAGCTGTTACCACACAGGAAAGAGATCTGGGAGTCGCTGTGGATGGTTTATCAAAAACAATGCTCAGCAGCCATCAAAAAGGCAAACAGAAGATTAGGGCTGATGAAGAATGGAATTGTGAACAAAATGGAAAGGATCATGATACCCCTTTATAAATCCACAATATGTCCACATTAGGGCCTGGTTTAAATAGCGGGCCCAGCTTGTGAATATCATGCTGCTGCTGTTGCTGCAATGAAATACCACTGCTCCTACTGTTAAAGGAAATGCCATGGATATGGCTACTTGCTGAGGAACTCCCCAGCAAGTGGCCCTATCATGGCATTTCATTACAAATCACATTTTTCATGAAAATCATGAAATTAAGTGACTTTCATAAAAAATGTGAAATCAGAATTTAAACCAGGCCTTAGTCCCACCTTGAAGACACTGCCTAGTTCTGGTCCCTGCACCTCCAAAAGGACAGAGATGAACAAGAGGAGTTCCAAAGAAGGACAACAAGGATGATACATGGTACAGAAGGGCTTTCATATGAGGAGAGACTAAAGAGGCTAATGACAGAGAGACAGAGAGAGAGACAGAGACAGATGGAGAGGTGGATAGATAGAGATGGCTAGACAGAGTGTGAGGTGGACAGAAAGACAGACAGACCATGGGGTGGGTGGGTAGACAGACAGACAGACAGACAGAAAGTGGAGTGGATAAATAGACAGACAGAGTCTGGGCTAGATAGATGGACAGGCAGGCCTATTCAATTTAGAAAAGAAATGCTTGAGGGAGGACATGATGAGGGTTTTCAAAACAATAAATGGCGAAGAGAAGTCAGTAGGGATTTAGTATTGACTGTCTCTCACTAGACAAAAACTAGGGGTCACAACATGAAACTAGCATGTCGTCAATTTTAAACTAACATAAGGCAGTTCTTTTTCACCCGGTGTAGAATTTAAGCATAGAGTTGGTTGGTACCATATGTGGTGGGAGCGAAGAGGTTAGCCAGATTCACCAAGGGACTGGACACATGCTTGGCAGAAAGTGACATTGGTAGCTATTGGTCAGGGGAATGAGGGGCACAGCCTCTGCATCAGAACTCCCCAGACCTCCAATGCAGGAGGCTGCAAGTGGGAGAGGAACAGGGGAAAAAACCCTGGTCAGACCCAGCTCACTCTCCCTCTCAGCATCCGCTCTCTGCTGCTATTGGACATAGAAGACAGGGCAAGATGTACCTCGAGTCTGACCCAGTAAATGGCAGTCCTTATGTTCTTAACCTTTCTAAGGCACTGCTGCTGTACGCTAGATGCTCCTGGTCTCTCTCTCTCCTTCCATTTCATAGCCTCATAGACTTTTTAATGCTATTTAAAAGTCCACATCCACCCCTGGAGATCAGTCTTTAGCAGCACCTGGGTTTCAGCTTGAGTTAAGCAAGGAAGAGAAGGCAAGTGAGCTGAAGATGACACTCTGTCCTTGCTCTAGGTGGCTGTAACTCTGAAATAATCCTTTTTTCTTTGTGCTTCTGACTTCCCCAAGGCATAGTCTTATGTGAAGGCATGTGGTATGTGAGGAAATACAGCAATTGCCAGAGTATTCTCACAGAGGGCTTCCCGCATCTCCCAACACCAACCTCCACCCTGGAGAAGGGACTTACCAGCATCTGTGGTAATGGCTGGGCAGCCAAAGGCGAGACCTGGGGCTGGGGGGCTGGTGGAAGGGCTAGGTCTTGGGGAGGCAGCCCTGGGGGCTGTGCCAGAGGCAACAGCTGTGGGGGCTGTACCTGGGCAAGGAAACAACATCATCACCATGGGGCCATGGAACTCACAGTACAGGAGGTGTGGCCACCAGCTAAACTGTCCCCTCCTGCCTCTGTGCCCCACCCCCAACAGGAGTATACCAGAGAGGGTTAGCTCCCAGGGGTGCCAGTATGGAGGCGAGGGGGTCCCGGGTAGTGGGAGATGGTATCAGCATCAAGAACTAGGGGGACCATGGTGGCAATGTCTTGCAGCTGTAAAAGGTTGTTAATGTGTGCTCCAGAGATTCCAGGCTGGGCCATGCTCCTGCTACAGAGGAAGGTAAACCCCCCACCCAGACTGTACCAATCTGTGTATGGGGTAAAATTCCCTCCTGACCCCACATATGGCATCAGTCTAACCCTGAGTGGAAGGGCAAGACCCTCTAGTCAGGATCCTCTGGGATTTTCCCCCAGCATAAGCACTGGCACTGCCCTGTCACCATCCCAGTATGGGTGGCAGCCAACACCCAGTGCCTCTGAGGGAGCCTTCAAAACCCCTGACACATAGCAGCAAGTGGAGGGGGTGGGATTGTGGCAAGCAGCAAAGTACAGAAGCCTGGAAAATCCCCATAGACATTGCTATATCTAGATCATCCCTGATCAGTGGCTGTCCAACCTTTCCTTGAATCCTGCCAGTAATGGACAGCCCACATCTTCCCTGGACATTTATCCCACTGCCTCCCTGCTCTAACATGGAAGAAGTTCTTCCCTGAGATCCAATCTAAACTGACTTGGCTGCCACTTCAAGCCATTGCACACATCCTGCTCTCTGCAGCAAGAGGGAAAAGATGGGGAAGGGTAGTGCTATTCATTGCCACAGCTCCCTTGCCACCAAATTTCCCAACCTGTGGGCTGGATGCCATGGAGCTGAGGGCCACATCTGGTGAGTATCCCCCATAATCAGTAATTCTTCCCCTCTATTTGGCACTGGTGAGGTCAAACCTGAAGCACTGTGTCCAGTTTTGGTCCCCCCACCCCACCCCCACTACAGAAAGAATGTAGACAAATTGGAGGAAGTCCAGCAGAGGGCAATGAAAATGGTTTGGAGGGCTGCGGCACATGACATGTGAGGAGAGGCTGAGAGAACAGTATTTATTTAGTCTGGAGAAGAGAAGACGGAGAGGGGAATTAATAGCAGCCTTCAACTACCTGAAGTGGGGTTCCAAAGAAGATAGAGTGAGACTGCTATCAGTGGTGACAGATGACAGAATAAGGAGCAATGGTCTCAAGTTGCAGCAAGGAAAGTTCAGGTTAGATATTAGGAAGAACTTTCTCACTAGGAGGGTAGTGAAGCACTGGAACAGGCTACCCAGAGAGGTGGTAGAGTCTCCATCATAGGAGGTTTTTAAGCCCCAGGTAAACAAAGCCTTGACTGAGATGATATAGTTGGGATGGTCCTGCATGGAGCAGGGGGTTGGACTAAATGACCTCCTGAGGTCCCTTCCAACCCAAAGTTCCTATGACTCTAAGTTGAAGACCACTGGTACGGAGCACAAAGAGGCCTCAGGGAGCAGCTGGTGCGTGGAAGCTTCTGTTGTCTTTTAATCCCCCTGCTCCTAAGGTCCAACTATCTCAGCTACCCCACAGGTTCTGCCCCCACAACGGCAATGCCCCTCAACATGCCTTACCCCGGCCATCTGCTGATAGTGCGCCATGAGTGGCTGCGGCTGGTAGAGGTGGCCCTGCAGGCCAGGGTCCATTGATGGGATCTGTGACGGCTCCATCATGGGCTCTGAGGCATAGGCAGCCATGTTGAGCTGGCCGGAGGCATCTGATAGGATAGTGGAGCCGGCACCATTCTCAGACAGGCTGTCAGCTGAGTGAGGAAGAGAGCAAGGCAGTGAGTAGGCAAGAGGGTTGGCAGTGGCAGGCACTTCTGAGGAGTGTTTGTTTGTGTTCTCCTGCCCCTGGCCAAGAGCTGTGGGCAGGGTGAGATCAGAGCCAGAGATCTCATGAAGCAAAGCTCAGGAAAAGAAAGTAGCTGGTTCCACTGTACGTTCTCCCATACAACACAGAGCGTTTTCCCTGAAAATCAGTGCCAAATTGGGGTGCATGTATTAAGTGGGAGAACTGATTTATCATTATCACCCAGAACAGAAGCCCCTTGTTTTCATTCCCACTCCACGCTGCAGCAGCTGTGGCATGACTACTCAGGCAGCCAAGGGAGTCCATTGACTTCGTGGCTCATTGTTCTTCACTCAACTGGTGTTAACAACTGTCTCTTTGTTTTAATGGACTTTATAACATGGAACCCCTGTCCTTGTTACTAGGAAGGTTGTCAAGGGAGTGTAGCTGGAGGCAGGTGCAGGAAGGGCAAAGTGGCACCAGGTGGGAGCTGCCCAGGGGAACTGAGCCAGGGGCTAGAAAAGGAAAGAGCTCCCAGGAGAGATCTGGCTGCAGTGAAGAGTCAAGCCAGCCTAGGAGAAGTACCTGGTGGGCTGGAGGGGTGGAATCAGGCCAGCCTTAGTAGAGGGCTCAAGGACTAGAGTCCCAGAGGGGTTTGTATTTGAGTCAGGGCCAGTTAGGTTGCTGTTTGGGTTTTACCAGAGGATCAGATTGTGGCTACAGGGGAGAAGGCAGCCATGGGTGGGGTGCCTGGGAGGCAGAGAGGAGAGAGGGTCATTTACATTTGTAGAGTGGAGAGAGGTTAGCAGGAATCAGGGAGATGACAATGAGCCATGAAGTCAATTGACTCAGCTCCTGCCTGAATAGAAACACCGCTGCCTCTCCTATGCAGTTGGTTTTAAAGCTGAGGTGGAAGAAGAATCAAAGCTAGAAGAGAAGCAACTGCACTGCCACAGCCCCTCTGAATCTGCCCCGACTATGTTCCCAGGAGGACTTTATGTCACACAAAGTAGGCCTTGGACCCTTCCAAGGGCAGTGGCAAGACTATTACCTCTCTCCTACAAGTAGTTCTTTACAGAAATTCCTGTGAATAAAGTGTGTTCATACCACAAAGCTCAACAAGATACTACCCACCACCTCCTTGCTGGTACAGAGCCAAGCAACAGAGTACAGCTATTAGCTATGGCAGTGACAGGATTAACACGGAACTCTGCCATCTTGGCAGCTGAATGACAGCTGCAGTGTCTCCATGCTTCCTTTCTGGCAAAGAAAACAGCATCCCTTGCTTCAGACATGCATCCTAGATGGAACAGAAGAACATCAGCAGAGCCAGGCTGGGTCAGACCAATGGTCCATCTAACTCAGTTTCCTGTCTCCAACAGTGGCAGAAATGGATGCTATAGACGGAGAGCATAGAACTGGGTATCTCTAGAGCAGGGGCAGGCAAAATATGGGCCACAGGCCTCATCTGGCCAACCAGACTATTTCATCCAGCCCAGGGGCAGGTGCCTACCAATTCACTGTATCCGGCCCAGCCCCGGGTTGCCCCTGCTGTGTTTGAATGGGGCTGAGCCCTGCTCACTTCTGCAGGGGCAGTGTGTGCTGCTCTTCCACCCTTGCCTGCAGGATAGTCCTGACCCTGGCCCCACAGGTAGGGAAGTAGCAGCAGCAGGCAGGGAAAGGGTGGTGGGTGGGAGAAGCGGCAGCAAGCGGGCGGGTGGAAGGGAAGCAGCAGTGGGTAGGAGCAAAGCGGAAGCTGGGCAGGAGCATGGGTCCCATGCTGGAACCCCAAGGCCGGGGCCAGCGGGGGCCCAGGGTGGGATGGCAGGAGCATGTGGAGCTTGAGTTGGCAGGGGAGCAGGGTCTGCCTGGCTCTATCATGCTGGGCTCTCTGGGGCTCACATTCAGTTCTCAGGGTCTCTGCCCGAGCTGCACACCTCCAGAGCAAATCCCATACGATGAAGCCAGTGGCCTGGCCCTGCTCACTACCAATGTGCAGGTCATAGGGAATGGTGGGAAACTCCACACTATAGAGCTGAGCCAGCTCCGCCTCTCCTTGGCACCCCAGCCGAGCCCCATGACCTGTACTGCTGGCTTCACTGCACAGGGCTTCCTTTGGCAGCATGGGGCTTAGCCGGAGAATCCAAGAAATGCACATGAGCCCCGCATGATGAAGCCGGCAGCCTGGCCACATGCAGTCTTGGGACTTACTGGGACCGCACACTGCTGGGGGGCTCTGCCTGCCACAGGCTGTGAGCACCCCAAGGGCCTGCTTCCTGCTGCCGGCAGCAGGAGCTGTGCATAATGGGGGGAGGTGTTTGAGAAGTCTGTCATATTTGTAGAAGCCGGCCCACATGTGCACCCGACCATACACACACACCACCCCCCGTGCACACCCCACACCCACATTCTTCCAGCCACACCCCCACACACACCCTCCCCCCCCCCCCCGTCGCCCCCCCCCCCCCCCTTTTGCCCAGCCACACCCCCACCCACACCCTCCAACCCCCCTACACCCACAGCCCTCCACAAGCCCCCACCCTCCCCCACACCCCATATACACACACTCCCACAGCCCCCCACAAATCCCATACCCATCCACCCATACCCCATACACCCCTCCACACATCCCCCCAAAATATACAAGAGTAAGACTTCATTTTGAGCTGTTATGCAATCACCTCTATATACACTACATAACATAGACAAATCAAGACAAAAGTATTTTTTGAAAAAAAATTAAAATATGTTATAGTAGATGTTTGATTTTTAGTATATAATGTTTGGTTTTTTTATGGTTCCAAGATGGCAACTCTCCCACAAAAGATGTACTTCTGGGGGCAAAGAGCAGGGTGTTAGGAGTGGGACTTCTAGTCCTAAAATGCCAAACAGGGGGTTGGGCACCTATCAAGGGACGGGGCTATCTTTGCAGCCCTCAACAGTTCACCAAAACTCATTAAGTGGCCCTCCAACCGAAATAATTGCCCACCCCTGCTCTAGAGTGATCCATCGCTTATTCAATACCCTCTCTGGCATGTACTATTTATTGCTTTAGAGATGCAAAAGGAAACATTTCTGATTGGCCTGTTCAGTGGCTCCTAAAAGATCTATCCTCCATATATTTATCCAGACCCTGGTTGTGTTCTCTGCCACTAACCCCTGCCTTGCTGATGATGAATCCCACCAACTTAGTGATACATTACATAAAAAAATCCTTTTTCTCTTTAGTTTTAAGCCCATCTTCTGATCATCTTGGCGGGTAGCCCCTGGTCTCAGCATCCTAGGACTTGGTGAACAATAGCTCCCTGGTCACTTGGTCTGCTCCTTTTGTGATTGTATAAACCATCATCCTCTCCCCCATCAGTCTCAAGTACATCAGCAGGACCAGAATTGGGCAGACCAGTGGTCCACCTAGACCAGTATCCCATCTCCAGCAGTGCCAGGGATGAATGCTATAGAGAGAGAGCACTGAACCACATCTCTCTGAAGTGAACTACCTCTACTCAATACCCTCCCTGGCACCATACTGTTAAACAGCTACTAACAGAATCCTAGAGAAGTGGGGCTGGAAGGGAACTCCAGAGGTCACATCTAGTCCAACCCCCTGCCTGAGGCAGGCTCTGCCCTATCCAAACCATCCCATAAAAATACATTATCTAAACGCCTACTGTCAACCCTGATGCAACACAGACATCACATCCAAACCTGCCACAGATAAAGCAGGGGAACCACAGCAGCCAATGTCCTGTTTCTATGAAATGTTGTCAATATATGCTCAAGAGATCCCAGGTAGAGAGCCATACCCCCCACTACAGAGGAAGGCAAAAAATCCCCTCAGTCTGTATCAATATGACTGGGGGGAAATTCCTGCCTGACCTCAAATACGGCATCAGTCTGACCCTGAGCAAAGGGGTAAGACCTTCTAGCCAGGAACCTCTGGCTTTGGTCCTAGCAGGAGCATTGGCCCAGCAAAATCCCCAGCCTTGGCTGTAGCCAACACCCAGTGCCCAAGAGGGGAGGCTTAAAACACTCTGACACATCCATGAATTTATCTAGTCTCTTGAACCTGACTGCAGGACCGGCCCGTCCTATCTTGCGAAACCTGCAGCCACAGGGGGCCCCCTGTAGCCGTGAACCATAGGCGGCGGAAGTAGGGGGCTAACAGGGCTCAGCCACCCCAAATGGAGGGCAGCAGCAGGCATAGCTTAAGGGCAGACTAGACATGGGAAGCTGCAGCAGTGGGGGAGGGGCACACACAGATACCCTGCTCTCACAGCCAGCACTGCAGCCAGCAGCTGCACACAGGCAGGTAAGTTTCTTTTAACCTTCTTTCTTTATTACCCTGGGCTTGGGGGGTGGGGTCAGATCGAGACCCCCACAGTGCAGGAGAGAGTAGGGTATGGGCAGGGCAAATCATTCACCCTGCCCCGCTCCCTGCTGCACTATGGGGATTGTCCCATTACCCAGCCCAGCCCTTATTCACTGTGAATGGGGCCCCAGCCAGGCCAGACTGTGGAACAATCGGAGGCCGGCGGCTCATCCAGGGAGCGGGTAAGCAGGTCCCACCACTGTGCGAGCTGCAGCAAGCCAAGGGGGAGGGGAAGGAGGAGTTCCACCCAGCTCCCCCATGCTGTGCCCCTGGACAAGCCACTGGGCTCTGACTGCCTCACGACCCAACCCGGCTGGGGCCTCATTCATGGTGAATCAGGCCCTGGCCAGGCTAAGTCATGGGACAGTTGGAGCCCGGTGGCTCCTCCAGACGCACAGCGCCAGGCAGCCAAGGGGGTGGTGGTGTGGGTTGGAGCACATGCCCCCACGATCTTTGCACAGGGTAAGGGTGGGCCGCAGCTGTGAGCTGTGCTCTGCTCCTTGCCTTTGCGCCTTGCCGCCGCTCCTCTGGAAGTGGCGCAGCGCAGTGCCATATGCCTCACTGCTCCGCCCACCCAGCAGCAGGATGCACGTGGTGGTGCCCGCCGCTTTTGAAGCAGCGGGAGCAGGGAGGCACAGAGGCAACAAGCCCTCTGGCCCAGCGGCGTAGCTGAGGTTGGCCCCACTCCAGTCCCCAGCTCTGGGCCCCCCACGGGCAGTGTGCAGCCGGGCCCAGGAGGCAGCCGGGGCTGGCGGGGCCGGGGCCAGGGCCAGGGCAGCAACTGGGCCTGGTACGGCTGGGGCCAGGAGGCAGCCAGACCCAGCGCGGCGTGATGCAGCGCCAGGCAATGCCGCTCACCCCCATGGCCCTTTCCCCTCCCCCCACAGACTTTCCCATGGGGGGGGCATGTGCGTGCACATGCTTAGCCCCCCCAACAATGCTTTTTCTTCCTCTGCCTATGCTGTGAACACTCCAGCACCACCACTCCATGCTGCTGCTGCCGTCAGCTTCTGCTGCCGCTTGCCACCCCACCTCCCCATGGCTTCTTCGCATCAGGGGGCCCCAAAACTACATCTTGCAGGGGGCCCCAAAAAATGGTGGGCTGTCCCTGCCTGACTGTGCTACCTGCCTCTATCACCTCCTATGGCAATGAGTTTCAAAAGTTTGTTGAGTGGAGGGCTGATTTTTTGGGAGAAAGGTACATGTTGTATATGAAGAAATAAGGTAGAAATAAGTCACAGACTGCTAAGCAGATCTGTCCTCCACAAGGCGCCTCCACTGGCCAGGGGAGCCACGTACCGGTAACGGAAGAACGATGCTGCATCTGCTGAAGCATCTGCTGCCTCACGTGCTGATCCACCTCTGTCTCCTCGCATTCGCTGCCCGCTGGCTGGATGAGGGAGATGCCCAGGGGGTGGAAGAAGGGTGGGGTGGGTTTGCCACCCTGGGAGTCCCGGTGCTCCTCCAGGTAGTCCATGTGCCTCCGCTCCCGCGTCTTCTTGATCAGAGTGACACGGTCACGGATGGACTTGGCCACAGCCTTGGAGTCGCTCTCATGGAAGAAGCCTGATTTCACCTGTGAGGGAGAGGCCAGGAGGTGAGATGTGAACCCTGGAAAGCCCCTTCCTCTCTCCACTTGTAGCCAGAGATTCCCCCCTGCCCCCACAAAAAAAACCAAAAACAAGTCTCACCCCATCCAGCTGCTTGACATGAATTGATGACATCTTTGGCCTTAGTATAGGAAAGTTGGGCTGGAAGGGACATCATGAGATCACATTGATTATGCCCATCCACTCACCAAACCTATCCAAGATGGTACCATAGGAGAATTGGGCTGGAAGGGACCTCACAAGGTCACATCGACCACAGTCCCCTGCTTCAGGATATCATCTTGGACACCCTTGGATATCAACTTGATCTGGTATCCCACGATGTTCTCATGAGAAAATTGAAAGATTGTGGGCTTAATTGTGAGGTAGTTAGGTGGGTAAGAAGCTGGTTACGGGGTAGGACCCAGAGAGTTCTAGTGAATGGATCTGTGTTGTCTTAGCAAGAAGTGACCAGCGGTGTCCCTCAGGAGTTGGTGCTTGGTCCAGTGCTTTTTAACATCTTCATCAATAATTTGGATGTGGGGGTGAAGAATTCACTGGCCAAGTTTGTGGAAGACACCAAGCTATGGGGAAGCGTGATCACACTTGAAGATAGGCTGCAGATACAGGCAGACCACCTAGACAAGCTAGCAAGTTGGGTGGATTGGAACCAGATGAGGTTTAACATCGAGAAATGTAAAGTGCTTCACCTGGGGACAAAAAAATCCCCTGCACACCTACAGGCTTGGCTATGCCAATCTGACCAGCACTACGAATGAAAGAGACCTGGGGGTAATAAATGACCACAGAATGAACATGAGCCAGCACTGCAACGCGATAGCCAGCAGGGAAAATAATACTCTGGCATGCATCAATCAATGCATCTCCAGCAAAACCAAGGAAGTGATTCTTATGCTTTACTTGGCATTGGTGAGACTGCAGATGGAGTACTGCATCCAGTTCTGGGCACTGTACTTCAACAAATCATGGAAAAGCTCGAGAAAGTCCAGAGAAGAGCCACCTGTATGATCAGAGATTTGCATGGCCATACGAGGTAAGAGACCTGGGACTCTTCAGCCTGCAGAAAAGCAGGCTGAGAGGGGACTTGGTAGCAGCTTACCGCTACATCGGGGTATGTAGCAAACCCCCCGTTTTTCTTTTTTTATTTATTTTAAAATGCATTCCCTCCCCTTCCCCAACCATTTCTGACTTTTTCTCTCCCTCTATTCCCTATAGATAAGTATAAGTAAGCTAAGATATAGGATAAGCTTTAACATTTTATTTTAGGTATTAAGTTTTATTTTTCTCTCCCCTCTTTGGAAATAAGTTCCCTGCTATTTTGATATTGATACCCACTGTTTTATAAGTGATAATTATTACGTTTGTACTGCTTTTATATTGTGTCATTACTGTTTTAGGCCTATATATGTAAGTTAGTGTAAATCATGTCAAGTTTCCATTTTGTATGTCAAACCTCCATCTTGTGTCCTCTGCTCGGGCATCCCCTGTGTTGCAACTGTATGATTCATGTACCCCTCCCATGTAAATTGGTTCCCAGATGAATGAGAGTGATTGGGAATGATTGAAATACAATGGTAGCAGGCCTCTACTGAATGGCCTGTAATGACCAGGCCATCACCTTGCATTGATTCATCCAGAAACCACAGAACTTCACCCAGGAACAGAGACAAGAACCCAGCATTTGAAAGACAAAAGACCCTGCAGAACCAGCAACTCTACCATTGTACCCCATCATTACAGACACCCGAAACTGCACATCCCTGCATGGAGCACACATGCTCAGTACACCAGGGGCTGACTCTTGCCTGGGCGTGCCTTCTGCCACTAGGGTCACACAAGGTCTGCCCCTATAAAAAGGGGCAGTGAAGACAGACCTAGTGGGACATCCTCTCCATCTGGACCAGCACCATGCCACACCACTTATCCACCCAGAGGCCCTGCCGGCGACCCCGCTCTGGACAACACCTACTGGATAAAGTCCCCTTTCCAGCCTGGATAGGTAGCTATCACCCCTACCCCCTCTTCAACCAAGGACTTGGACTCTGCTTCTCTTCCCCACCTGGACTCCAACCCTTCCACTGAGTCTCTTTCTCCGGGGGGGCGGAGGGGGGGTGTAAACCAATAACTTCATGGGGCTGTGTAGTGTGTTGTCTGTCTGTTTAATAAAACTGTTATTAGGACTCTTAAGTTGGGTTTTGCTTTACTATGGTCCTGCTTCAATCTCTGCTCCTTGCCCCTCTAACTTCTGTCTCATTTCTTCCTCTCCTGCTTCTGGCTCACTACCACCTCTAACACCTGTCCTGAGCTCCTCTCTGCCTCCAAACCCCCTGTTTCTTTGCCACTGTCTTATCCCCACTGCCTTTTCCTTTTCCCCTAATCAACCACATTTCTGCCTCAGTTTCTTTCCTGGCTGTCTCTTCCTTGCCACCACTTATCTGCCTCCCGCACCCCAATACCTCAGCTGTCTGCCTCAGTTTCCAGTCCCAGTCTACCTTAAGTAAACCCAAGCCTCAGTTCCTCAGCCAGCTTCTCTGTAGTACACCAGTTCTAATCTCGGTTCTGACAACTTTCACTCCCTACACTTTAACTCTCTCTCTCTCACCTGAACCTTCCCCCAAGTATCCCAAGTACCCCAAGCACACACATACACACTGTACCATCCAAGTTAGGAACTTACCTGCGTGTGTGTGTGATTGCGTGCATGATACACGAATTAGTGATCTGTGTCTAACTTTTGGGGTGTATAGTGTATGTGCTTGAATTGGTGATAGGTATGCATGTGCCGAGGCTGGTTTGGATGTCTATGTGCCTGAGCTGGTAGTGTGTGTGTGTATGCACCTGATTGATTTGTGTGTTTGTATATGTGCAATTGTGTCACACCCTCCTGTCTAACAGCGCAATATTGAGATCCTGAGAGTTGGCCTGACCCCACAGGGCAACAGGTGTACATCAAGGGCTTGGTGAACAACTGTGGACCCAAGACTCCAGGAAAGGCCTCCTCAGTAATGGATAGAGTAGGAGAATCCCTGCCTTTGATTTGGAAAGGCTGGAAGAGCTGGGGTGATCAAGTCTGGAGAAAAGAAGACTGAGGGGGAGTGGATCACAGCCTTCCAGTTCCTGAAGTGTGATCACAGGAGACAGGACTAGAAACAATAGCCTTGAGCTGCAGCTGGGGAAAGCAAGGCTGGAGGTGAGAACTTGCTGCCTCTCAGGGAGGCTGTGTGGGGGATCAGGCTGCCTGAAGACAGTGTCTCCATCCCTAGAGGTGTCCCAGGGCAGGTTGGACAGACTCTGGGCTGGGATGGTTTTGTCTAGGACCATCCTGCCTTGAGCTGGATGAGTTGTGACCTTATGAGGTCTCTTCCAGCCTGATTCCCCTATGATCCTGTCTTGGTTGGGTTTGGTGTGTTGATGGGCAGAGTCAATATGACTCTGTGAGACCCCTTCCAATTCAATTCTTATATGATCCCATCTCAGAGGGGTTTGGTGACTGGGTGGGCAGAAAGAAGGCAAGCCTTTCTCACCCCCAGGCCATGAGGCTGACAGTAGTTGTGGGGATGGAGAAGGGAACTCTCACCATCTCGTAGGCCACCTCTTCAGGGACATCGATGTCCAGGTTGAAGCTGAACTCGATGGCTTCATTGTCCTTGTGCTTCCCCTTCAGCTTCTTGGGGTCTTCCACCCAGAGGCGGAGAGCAAGTGAGGCCATGACTCCGTCGTCATCCTCGGCCAACTCCACCCGCAGCCCTGTGTCCTCGGCAAAGAAGGCATGATTCAGCAGGTCCTTGATGGATAACCTGGGATAAAAGAAGAGGGGAGCTGTGGTCTCAGCAAAAGACCCAGCGCCAGCCCCATTCTAAAGCAACATGGTACAGTTCAGGAATGCTTCTGTGATTTCTTTAGATGTGGCTAAGAAGAGAACCCAGGAGTCTTGGCTCTTCCCTCTCCCCCTGACCCCTGACCCCACCAGCCCATTAGACCTCAAGAAAGACACAGGGCTCAGTTAGAGGGAGTGATGCATGGAGTCCTTCAGAGCACAGTGGAGGGGGTTTGTTCTGCTCTGGACATCCAGGCTTTGCTGGTTGCCACAAGGGGCTGGGGGTGGATTTTTTTCCCCTCCTTGTTGCTACAGTGGCCTGGAGGATGTTTTTCTTTGCCTCCCTCCAGGAGCTAAGGCTAGGAATGGTGACTGGGCTGTGCCAGTGCTGGACTCAAACCTGGAGGGTCCCTGGTAGAGGGTCTTGCCCTTGAACACCTCCTGCCTCCCGAGGCTGGGGGGGGCACAGTGACCACATGCAGGCGGTGGCAGCAGGGGCGTAGTGGCGGCGAGTGGGGACCACCCTCAGGTGGCCACAGGGATGTCAGCAGTGAGGGTGGGCTAAGCAGGGATCACCCCCAGGTGGCTGCGGTGATGTTGGTGTTGAGGGGATGGTGACGAGCACTGAGTGGCAATCAGCGACTGCCCACAGATGCCGCTGGCAGAACACTCGCAGATACCACCAGCAGTGGTGGCGGTAGCCCATCTCAGGGGATGCATGGCCAATCTCAGGGGGTGCACGTGCACCCGCATCCACCCCCTATGCATTGCCAATGGTCTTGCCTCTCCACTCAGGGTCAGACTGACACTCACCGGGGTCAGGAATTTTACCCCCTGGTCAGATTGGTATGGACTAGGAGGGTTTTTGCTTTCCTCTGTAGCAGGGGCACGGCCTCTACCTGGGAATGCTGGAGTATACTTTAGCATTCTTTGACAGCAGCAGGACAGCCACCATGGTCCCCCTGCTTTCCCTGTAGCAGGTTGGGTGCGATGTCTAGTGTTGTGTCAGGGTGGACGGTAATTTTACGAAGAGGTTGGACAATGGATTTGTCTGGGACAGTTTTGATAGGGATGATCTTGCCTCAGGCAGGGGGCTGGACGAGACGTGGCCTCTGGAGGTCCCCTCCAGCCTGACAGGTCTTAACCCCTGGCTTTACCTGGGGGCAAGTATGGGGGAGGGGTATTGGGGCAACATGCCTTGGGGTGACAGGGTTGCTGAGTAGCGTTAAAACTAGATCAGACAAGGATACACATGGAATGATTATACCTTGAGCAGGGGATTGGACTGAACGTGATGTACAAAGATCCTTTCCAGAGATCCAAACCTCTCTTATGATCTTATGTCCTCATCCAAAATTGGACCCCTTGGTGGGAACCCATGGACATCCCAGCAGGAACCATGGGTTCATGGCTTATGGGGGCAGAGAAAGGAGTCAGAACATACCTCTCTGACTTGTTTTGACGGATGCAGCCTTCAATGATTTCTTTCACCTCGGGGTCAGTCACTTTGTTGAAACTGGCTGGTTTGATACCCTGGAAGAGAAGGCGGAAGCTGTGGCAAACACCATATTTTTGCATACAGCACACTCCCTGGAATATAAACCACACCTTGCTTTCTCTAAAAGGGAGCCAAGGCTCCTTGTTGCTCTGCTTCCTTTGGCTTGCAGCAGATTCGACTCTTGGCTTCAGCAACAAGCTGACTTTCTCTAGTATTTCTCAATCCTTTTGGAGATGTGAAGACCAGAACTGGATACAGTATTAAAGGTGTAGACATACCATTGATTTGTCAGGCATGAGCATTTAAGTACTACATGAACAACGAACAGAGGCCAAGTCTATTGTGAGTTGACTAATTCAGGGGTCCCCAACCTTTTTATGCTGTGGACCGGCAAACTGCAGACCAGGAGTGACTACAGACTGGAAATGACTGCGGACCAGCAAACCGCGTACCAGAAATGACCATGGACTGGAAAATTGCGGACCAGCAGTGACCAGCATATTGTGAACCAGCAGCCAACCCTTTTTTATACTCAGTGTAGAAAAGGGTTGGCTGCTGGTCCACAGTATGCTAGTCACTTCTGGACTTCCAGTCCAGCAGCCAACCTTCTAGTGGATTGGCAGCCAACCCTTTGCGGCCCAGTACCAGGCCACAGCCCGGGGGTTGGAAACCCCTGGACTAATTTATCCATGAGTCTGCCAGCCCCTGTGTGGGCCAAATCATAATTATATGTTACCATGATGTTGCCAACAATTAATGGGTTCTTTTAGCCGTGTCTATCAGATCTGATAAGCATGCCCTTTGGTGTTGGCAAGGGTAGACAGGGCAAAAGTATGGAGCCCCCCATCAAAAGTCCTACCAGGGAACTTTTATTTGCCTCTGCTGGAGAATCTTCCCAACCCCACACAAGTGAAGTGACTTGAGACCCAGAAATGAGCTGTGAACCAAGATTAGGCCCCTCTGGGTGTAGAACCCACCACCCACCAGGCTGAGATTAGGACCCTGTCACACCTCCTACCCCATCGGCTGCTCTGCTTTCTACTCACTGCCCTGTGCCCCTGTCCCTTTGGCTACTCTGCTTTCTGCTCCCTGCCTGTGCCCCTGCCCCATCTGCTGCTGTGCTTCCTGCTCCTTCCCCAATGTACCACACACAGAGGAAGCCCAAAGCTTATCTTGAGTTGGCCACCCCTGACTTAAGAGCTTTATTCCCAGCCAGCCACCTTGCAAGCTGAAAAGGTGGAAGGAGGATGTGGGACACCTACACTGGTGACCTTGCGGTAGATCTGGGCAGCGTTCTGGCACTCTGAATATGGGTACTCTGATGTGGCCATCTCCAGCATGCACATCCCAAAGGCATAGACGTCCACCGACTCATCATAGTGCTCCTCATACATCTCCGGTGCCATGAACTCGGGGGTGCCTGGGGAAAGTAAGAAGAGAAGAAGCCCTTGAGATCCTTGGGTTTATGGACTTCCCACCGCCAAGGCAGGCAATGGAGAAAGCCAATGATGAGACTGGGCTGGGGGGGGATGTTTCCAGTGGAAAAGAAATTAAGGGAAGCTGTGGACTCTCCATCACTGGAGGTGTTCACAAAGAGGTTGGACAGCCACTGGTCAATGATGATCTAGGTGTTGTGATGCCTGCTGCCTGCTATGGGGACTTACCAGGCTTTTGGGTTTAGCTAGTTGCCACATGGGGCTGGGATAGAATTCCACCCTGCCCCTTTTTCTGCGACACGTGTCAGAGTGTTTTTAAGCCTTCCTCAGGGGCACAGGGTGTTGGCTACAGCCCAGGCTGGAGATGGTGACTGGACTGTGCCACTGTTCCTGCTATGACTCAAACCTGGAGGGTCCCAGGTAGAGGGTCTTGCCCTCCACTTAGGGTCAAACTAATGCCAGAGGAGTCAGTTAGGAATTTCCTCCTCATGGTCAGATTGGTATGGATTGGGGGGATTTTGCTTTTCTCTGTGGTGGGGCATGGCCTCTACCTGGGATCTCTGGAGTGTATATTAACAACCACTTAAAGCAGCAGGATGTTGGCTGCTGTGGTCCCCCTGCTTTCCCTGTGGCAGGTTCAGGTGTGATGTCTGGTGCTGTGTCAGGGTGGCTGGCAGTTTTACAAAGAGTTTGGATGATGGATCTGTCTGGGATGGTTTGGACAGGGATGGTTCTGCCTTGGGCAGAGTGTTGGATTAAATATGACCTCTACCTACCTACCTACACATATTAAAGAGTTACATAATGGATATGTCTGAGATGGTTTGGATAGGGCTGATCATGCTACAGGCAGGGGGTTGGACTAGATGTGACCTCTATATATCTATAAGCTAGATCCATCCATCCACCTACGGAGAGGTTAGACGATGGATGTGTCTGGGATGGTTTGGACAGGGCTGATCCTGCCTCAGGCAGGGGGTTGGACTAGACTGCTGGAGGTTCCTTCCAGCTTCATGTCTCTATGATTCTATGAATACCCAGTGGCCTGCTCCAGCATGTACCATATTACAGCATCCATTCAAAGCAAAAAGAAGAAATGGAACCAATTACTACAGGAACATCTCTCCTAGCCACAAAACAATCCTCAGAAGAATACCACCAATACTGTACAACATTCCAACATGATACTCAGTGAAACAGAAGGAATCAATCAACCCTCTAATATTATCAATCTCTGCACACACACACACTTACCAAAGTTGAAAAATCTGTCCTCTCTAAAGGCCTTAATTTCTGCCCAGAAAAACACCCAAATAAGATAGTAAGTACAATGTGGAGAACTAAAAAATTTTTTCAACACCTCCATCTGAAGGAGTATTTCCACAACCAAAAGGAATCCAGTTTCAACATGAATTCATCAGCTGACAACATTGACGAAAAAAATAAATGCCAAAAATCAAAAAACCCCTCAGATTGGACACCTAGCAGTAGACAAAATTCAAACCTTGATCACTACATTGACTGCTTCAGAGAAAGAATGAATAATGAAATACTCATCAACAAACATCACTATAACAACCACTCCCTCTCAGAAAGAAGGGCCATAGAATCCCTAAGATCCAACCAGCAAATAGTAATAAAACCAGCAGATAAAGGAGGAGCTATAGTTAACCTTAACCGTGAAGACTATATAAAAGAAGCCAACAAACAACTCTCTGACACTACCTACTACAAAGAACTAGAGAAAGATCCCGCTCCCCTTTTCTCCTCAAAGCTCAAAACCATCATCACATCATTTCCATCAAAACTACAAGAAAAACTTCAGACCCTGATTCCTACATTACCCAATCTAGGGACTTTTTACCTGCTCCCTAAAATCCACAAACAAGGAAACCCTGGCAGCCCTGTTTGTTGATAATTTCTAACCATGGAACTCTAATGGAAGAAATATCAGGTTTCATCAAATCCATCTTAAAACCACTCATCATCCAAAAACTGAGTTTCATCCAAGACACAACTGACTTCCTGAGAAAACTAAAAAAAACCCTACCTCCCAGCAATACCCTCCTAGCCACCGTGGATGTCACTAGCTTATACACCAACATCCCACACCAGGATGGCATCCAAGCCTGCCTCACATATCTACAAGAACGAGATTACAACTCAGAGTACAGACCTCAGGATATCACTGAACTCATATACTTCATCCTCATACACAACAACTTCAGTTTCAACAACAACACTTCCCTCCAGACTATGGGCACAGTTATGGGCACCAAAATGGCCCCACAATATGCCAACCTTTTTATGGCCCACCTAGAAGAAGACTTCCTCCAGAACTGCACCATCAAACCCTTACTATACCTGAGATACATAGATGACACCTTCATCATTTGGACCGAAACCCTGCAGTCTCTGACTGATTTCCACCAAAAATTCAACAATCATCACCCCTCCATCAGACTATCGCTTGAATACTCTAACACCAGCATTTCGTTTTTGGACACCATGATCAATATCCAAGGTGGCAAAATTCAAACCACCATATATAAGAAACCCACAGACCAATATACATATCTACACAGAACTAGCAATCACCCTAAACACCCCAAGAAAGCTGTAATTTGCAGCCAAGCTCTCCGATACGACCAAATTTGCAGCCAAGAGAATACCCATGATCACTACCTCACTAATATCAAAAGGGCCTTCAGCCAACAAGGTAACTCCTCCAGAGAGACAGATCACACTTTTGAAAGAGCCACCCAGATGCCGCATGAAGATTTGCTACAGTACAAAAAGAAAACCCACAAAAATCGCACACCGTTAGTTATGACATATCAACCTTCCCTGGAACCTACAGGGAAAATCCTCAAACAATTGCAACCCGTACTAGAAGAAGACCCCATTCTTAAAGAGATCTTTCCAGAGCCACCCATTCTAGCCTTTAAACAAGCACCAAACATCACTAACCTGATCACCAGAAGCAAACTCCCTATGGCCCAAACCACACCCAATGGATCTAGACCATGCCAGGACAAGAAATGCAAAACCCGCCAACACATCTCCACCACCCCAACAATAACTATAAGACCCCACAATAGAACCATCACTATCCATGGATCTTACACCTGCACCTCCAGGAACATTATATATCTCATCCAGAGCACCAAATGCCCTGATAGAAAATATGTAGGAGGAACCAAACAACAACTGCACACCATAATGAATGCATACTGAAAAATCTATCAAAGACAAGAATACCCAGCTATCTGTGGGGGGCACACTTTTCACAAGACAATCACTCCCTCTGATCTCTCAGTTCTAATCCTCAAAGGGAACTTACAAAACACCTTCTGTAGATGCGCCTACAAACTTCACTTCATAAATCTACTAGATACAAAAGATCATGGGCTCAATATAGACATTGGATTTATGACGCATTACAACCTGCCTGACATCCGATTCATAGGCGACACGTAGGGGAGGCATGGTGGGGTCACGTGCCTCCCGAGATTGGCTACTGCTGAAGCCACTGGCAGTGTCTGTGAGTGGTCCCTACTCGCCACCCTCCCCCCTGCTGCCGACACCACCCCTGGCAGGTACAGACAGTCCCCACTTGCTGCTGCCAACACTGATGCTGGCAGCTGTGGGCAGTCCCTACTCGCCGCTCGCCACCATGGTGTCCCCCCAGTCTCAGGAGGCACCAGTCATTCATGATCTGATTCATTAGGTACCTGTCTGACCTGACCTCTTACATTCTTTCCCTGCCCCCACCTTTTCACCCCTCCTCCCCTACTATTCTGACTTCTGTTTTCCTGATTTCCAACCATTTCCTTCTTCTTTTTCTTTGAGACCCTCTCTTTTTTACCTTGTACTAGTATCACTATAGTGTTTCCCTTTGGCCTTCCCCCCCGCCCCATTTTTCCCCTGCCTGCTTCCCCCTCCCTTACCTGTTTTACCTTTTGTGTTTCTAATTTCTACCTTCTTACATTTTCACTGACATCCTGTTACACTTTTAGCTTCTCTCATTCCATGGAGTCTCAGACCAGCAGAGACTCCCTATGCCTGAAAAAGGGTGACTGTGCCCAAAAACTTGCCTAAAACTTTTTTTCCAGCTACCTAGTTGGTTTAATAAAAGATATCACTCAAAGAACCTTGCCTGCCATTGTATATAACACACACCTTTCCTCCCCAAAAATCAGGCATACACCCAAATTGGGGTGTATGTCTTAAGCAGGGAAGCTGAGTTTCTGCCCAGCTCACTCCACTCACCACCTTTGACCTGTGCCCCCAGCACTCCGCATCCTATGTAGTTGCTGCCTCCTGACCCAGGTCATCACTGCCACCACCACCCTTGGACCTGACCACTTCCACCACCTCTGGACCCCTGCCAACAGCCCCTGGACCTGCCACAGCTGCCACAAGCTCCATGGATCCAGCCAGGAAGGATCCCCTGTGGACTGGACTGAACCAGCCCAGCCCAGCCAAGCCCAACCCAGCCCAGCCTGGGGTGTCTGATACCCTTGTTAAACCCCAGTGATATTCCATCATGAATTCCTCCTATCCAAGCTGCCTCTGCTGAGGGCACAGTAGCTTTTGCCACCATTCTGATGGATAGGCAGTAAACACATGTGGATGCCCCCATGTCCCAACTCGTGCAGCTGCTGCCTCCCACTACACATTACCACTCCTGCCTGACCCATTCTAATATTATAAAAGCCTTTGTCTGTCTGTCTGTCCATAACGCTTCATTCCACTCTAAATAGGTGATTGAAACAGCCAATCAGAGTGTGAATACAGCATTTGTACAGGAGGTGGCGGTGCAGTGGAGCACCACCATGATGGCAGGGACACAGGGGATGGAGCGGGGGTGACAAGGCCAGCAGTAGGGGATGGACCCAGCAGCAGTGAGCAGGGGATAGACCCTGGAGTGGACGGAACTGGCGGGGGAGGCCAGCAGCACTGGTTTACCCCCCTGCCCTGTTCCCTGCAGGTGGCGACAATGGAGCAGGGGAGAATGAGGCCACCAGAGCTGGCCTCAGCCCGCCCCTCCCCACTTCCATTGTCACTGATTGCCTCGCCCCCTCCTTGCTCCTCAGAGGTGGCAGAGGCAGCATGGGGGGAGCGGGATCAGCCGGAGGCAGGTCTCTGTCCCCACCCGCCCGTCATTCTTGATGGGCATTTGGCTAGTAGAATCATAAAATCATAGAAAATTAGAGTTGGAAGGGGCCTCAGGAGGTCATCTAATCCAACCTCCTGCTCAAAGCAGGACCCTATCTCATTCCAGCCAAGGCTTTGTCTAGCCAAGTCTTAAAAACCTCCAATGGAGACTCCATAACATCTCTGGGTAACCTGTTCCAACGTTTTTCATAGATTCATAGATGTTAGGGTCGGAAGGGACCTCAATAGATCATCGAGTCCGACCCCCTGCATAGGCGG